AAGTCTGAAGTTGAAAGGTTGAATTAGCATAGAGAATTGGGCTGCTGTTAAATTCTTTGTGTAGAGAATTGCAGGTGGGTTTTTTTTTAATTCTTTTTTCAGATGTGATTAAAAAATATTGCACCACTTAGTCTTAAAATAATTTTTAGAGGGTTGCAGTACATGAGATTGTGATTTAGAGTCCTTCCTTGAAACCTTCCATCTTCAGGAACAAAACGAAGTCAAACTTTGTAGAAGTTTTCACATGTTCTAGTAGGTTTTCACTACCTTTACATTTTCCTTCCTTTCAGCTGCTTCGTGGTTTTGTTGCTAGATCTCCAGCCAGATTTGACAGGCCTAAGGGGAATAATTGCTATGCATGCAATTGAGTTCTGTCCTTCATCTTAGATTATCAGTGCTCTGTTACTTTAAGACAAGGAGTACTTTATGAAGAAAAGGAAGTTGGGTCAAAAGGAGGGACGTTGTATAGCACAGTTTGTCCCACTGAAGACAATAACTATTTTTAGCTGCTCCATCTGGGGAGATGGTCTGTGACCTGTGTCTAGAGACCAGCATGTGGCTTAAGAGTCTTCCCAGAACCTTTCAAGTTGCCCTGAACCATAAAAGATTTAAACATTTCAAAGAAAGGCTTCCAGAGAGACCACCAAGTGTGGTGTCTCTACTGCACCATGACCTGTTTAGGGTTGTTGCTTGTAGGTAGTGAAATCTTGAAAAACAGAATCACATCACTTTTAGGTGTGGAAGGATTTGCAGTACCATTCTACCATTTTTTTGATACAAGATTGGCTTGAGAAGTGAGATAGGACAGATTCGTTGAAGTCTTCCTGTGTTCTGCTGCCCTGTATGTTTTGCAACTATGTATTGTACATTAGATTTCTGTGCACAACAGTTGCAGGTCAGGTTCAACTCTGTGTTTGTAACTGACAAATTTCGGGGTATTCTGTGGTACACAGTAAGTTACTGTACCCCTCAGCCTAATACTGAAATAATTTGCCTAACTAAGAGGAAAAGCTCATTTCCCCTACTTTGATGGCAGCAGCATACAGAAAATCCAAAGAGATCTGACTGCTTCTTCGTCCTATTTTGTATGTTGTGCGAACGTAGCCAGGAATGCATCTGGATTTCTATGGGACTGTATGTCAGACAGGGATAGCTGGAGAACTTACATGCTGTAGCCCTGTTCTGCTACTTTGGAGAAGGTGGTGATTGCTTTATAGTTGTCTGGAGGAAAAGTCTAGCCTAGCTTTTAGGATTTGAGTTTGTGGATGGTCCAGTTCCCTACTATTCTTGCCTCTGTGAATTCGAGTAATCTTTCAGTTTTTCTATGCCTCCTTGCCCCTCTGTGAAATGGGATAACTGTACGTGGTACTGGGTAGTCAGAGTAGAAAAGGAGGTGATCAAATGCTTAAATTCAGTATCCATAAAGCTGGATAAAACAGTGTCCAGCAGATTTTTGGGGGTGTTTCTTTGTCTTTTTGATCTTACAGAAATTTCATATGCTAGTAACATGAAATAATTTTTTTTCTTCTTTTTCTTTAACCAATAAAAACTTTAGGAAGAAAAGAGAATTATATTTCTCTCATTTCTAAACTACTTAATTAAGATATATATTCTCTTCTAGGCCAGTCAGTTGCCTCAGAGCAAAAATCATCCTTTATTCTACTATTGTTTAAAAATCCAACAATGTACTATGTTAATTTGTTACTATGCCACCCAGGCAATGCAAAGGAAGTTAAGAAAGTGATCACTTGGAAACCATTTGGAAAGCATTAGTTTCATGGTGATATTTTCAGCTTTTACATATATATATTAAGAGCAAATTTAGTACTCTGTTTTTCTTCTTGGTCTTGCGTGAATTTTGGTTCTAAGCATTGCTAAATGTATTTACTATTGTTTTCAAATTGGTCATGGGCTTGTTGCAGCAAACATTGCCCAACTTTATTTGTTCAGAATAAAACCTTACATTATTCATTGGTAACAACTATTGAATCACACTTTCCTAAAAGTGCACTGCATGTTTGAAGTCGTTTGCTGTTCTTGCTCTTTTTTGTTTTTTCTCCTTTGTACAGGTGCCGATAGCAGTGAATTAGGATTAATGTGAGGGCATTTTTCCATAGTAATTGCACTGTGAATGAATATTTGCTATTTGTTAAATAGTGGGGAAAAAAAAAAAGAAATGTTAATAGGGTAGCTTTTTGTACACATCATTGCTGATTCATATTTTTTTGTACCAGTTAAATTGTTTGGTATTTTACTTAGAATCATAGAATCCTAGAATACTGAGTTGGAAGGGACTCATCAAGTTCGAGTTCAACTCTTGGCCTTGCACAAGATACCCCAAGAATCGGACCATGTGCCTGAGAGTGTTGTCCAAGAGCTTCTTGAACTCACACAGGAATTATTTATTAAACATTATACAGTCTCGATTCTAGACTATTCCAAACTAGACTGTTTTGTTGAGGTTTTGTAAGAAGAATTGTGGTGCCTGATAAAAGGAATCTTGGATAACTGATGTCATGCCTAGTTTGTTTAAACTCAGACAACATAAATTCCTGAGAAACAAATGATGTATCACATAGGTCATACAAGAGAAATTATTAAAATTTTTTAACTATTTTACCTTTTTTCAGCTTTTGGGTGTTAGTCAAGAGCTACAAAAATTATTCCGTTTATTGCTTCCATTTGCACAACATTAGTTCTACATAATTCTTGTGTTTTTCAAATCATGCTCTTGTAATCACTGAGATACTGTAGCAAATAGGCAAGCTCTAATAAAAATGTTTAAGTTTTTAATGACCATGTTTTTAAAGTTATTGCTTTCATGAAATCTATAGCTCATTTTTAGCTTCCCTTTAGAGGATTTAATGAAGATAGAGACAGTCTTGTATATTCAAACAACACATTATAGAGACATTTTACTTGCCATTAACTCCAGTCATTTCAAGGGTACTGCCATTTTATCTCGCAGAAATATAAATATATATAAATAAAAAAATATGAAAATATACAATTTATATAATTTATATATATAAATAAAAATATTTATAAGTCACTTGAAGCTACTTTAGTGGGCAAGGATAGACAAATATATTTTTTGTGGTTATTCTTTTTTTTTTTATCACACTTTGAAGTGGAAAGTGACATCAGCACTTGGTAAAACCTCAGCTCAGTTACTGAGGTTGTGGCCATTGTAGCTGGTGTTCAGTTTTAGTCAATACACTTGGGATCTGGACCACTTGGGAAAGTCCAGAGCAGGGAGAAGAGGATGATCAAAAATCGGAAGAACATAGCTTGTGAGGGAAATGTAGCAAGAATAATTTCTCATTGTGCATGTGAACAGAGAGTGAAGTAAAAGATGAAATAGAAGCAAGGGAAGTCTTATGTAAGGAAAAAAAAGGACTAACAATACATTAGAAGAAATAGTGGAGGACATCTGGAGAGTGGGAAAAACTTTAAGTGACATGACTCATTTTAGTCTTATTTGCTGTCATTCTGTAGGTTAGAGAGAATATGTTCCTTGAATTTTTTTGCTGGGGGTCCCACATTTACATGGGAGAGAACAAAGTGGAGCACATTTTGTGGGGTAATTGCTTCTACTTCTCACAGGCAGCTGTGAGAGAAGGTGCCCTTATGACTGATTTGTTCTGTGGAAGGTATTCTGAAGTGCAGTTATCTTGTTTACTTTTACTAGCTTATATATTGATCCATTTCTGTGACATATATGTAAGTCTGTAAAAAACAAAACAATAATTACAAATTTTGAAATTACAAGACTTTTCTAATAATGTTTTTAAAAAATGTATTTCCAAATAAATAAAACCTCTTTGTTTCTTTCCAATTTTGTTTCTTCTCAATAACAAAGATCTGAACATAATAGATGTTTCATGGATTAATTTTTTTTGACTAAGAAAATAACAAATGCTCATTTTTTGACATAAAGTTTCATTTTGAAAAAATAGTTAATCTTTAGTAATTTTTATTAGCTAATTTATACCTGTTCAATTCATTCACATACTACTGCAGCATTTGAGTTATCTTTAATATTATAATACTTTAATTTATTAATTTCTTCAGCAGTTAAAAAACTTGGGGTTTTGAGAACATTGTAAGAAATATCCTTCCAGAAATCTGTTGACAGTCTAAAAACATCTTTTATATAAGCTAGTAAAATGGTAATTCAACCTAATAACTAGAACAATGGCATTTTACTAACTTTTTAAATCATAAATGAATGAGATAATATAATAAGATTAAAAATACAGGGTTATGACATGAATGTGTGCTTTGTTCATTTATTTGACAAGCGGTTTTGTTCTAATTATGTAAGTTCCAAATATATCAGTGAAAGCATTAGTGAAATTAGATTTCATTACAGTTACCAGCTATTGAGTAGCTAACTGAAGAAAACTCACTTTCTTTAGGTCCAAATATGGCATTGCATAATGTGAATGGATGAGGAGTTCTGTGACAATTCCGTAACAGTCCTTGAAACAATATGATCATTTTGATTTGACCAAAGTGATATTTTTTTACATATTTTTGTGGCTTGTTTACCAGAAAAATCATTAAACTTAAGTGGTTCTCTAGTGTCTTCATAGTATTTATTGATCTTTTTTATTTAATTATGTTTGTTGAAGCTTTCAGATGATTTCTCAGTGGATGCTTATTGTTGTTTCAGATATTTTTGTTACCTGTGACTTTGAGCACTGATGGGGATATTGGCTTTTTCATTAGAAAGTTGTCATTTGATGACTTTATTGTTGACAAAATTATTTTTTAGTAGCTTTTTGATGAGAGCTATTTTCTCTTCTTTGAGAACAGGATAGCATGTTGTATGTATGGTGGTTTTTCCAGTACAATAAAACATAATGAAACTCCACTATTCCGATGAGTCAGAGAGCATGGGAACTGTTTGGTTTCACTGCAAAGAAAAAGAGATTGAATACTGACATGTGCTATTCCTTTCTTCCTGTAATCTAACTCTTGCAATATTTGTTCAGCTAGGATTGTGTGTTAGCAGAGCTTCAGCATCTGTCCTCAATCTCAACTGCTGCCTGGTCCTTCTACCAATGTGCCGCGTTATCTTGGCCTTCCTGCGAGGATCTCAGAAGGTAAGTAATGTCCTCAGGATGCTGCAATTGAGAAGAGGGCCCTGGTCTCTGTTTAGTTGAAAAATAATAGAAAAAGAATCTGTTATATCCCTGATTATTATACAGTATGTGCTTGCATGGTGCAAGTATCAGACATTCAACCTAGATCCATGACTCCTTTGAAGACAATGCCATGGCTGACAGTGTCTGGTTTGATTTGGCCTGTTGTGAGGATGATTTCTTCAGTGCATTTTTGAAGGATGGAGAGCTGCTGTCGAACTGTAGCCAGATGAAGTATCCTTTGTCTTTCTGAATTGTTATATTAGAGGCATCCGTGTCCTCTCTACTGCTTCCTGGTAGAATTCAACAGAACAAAACCAACTTTATCTCTGCGTGACCATAAGTGTCCTACTGGAGATGATAGAACTTTAAATAAGAATACCCAACCTGATACATTCATTATCATGGGAAATTAAAAGAAAAAAACTTCTGTCAAATCTAAGAGGGTTTGTTTTCTGTACCATTATTCAGTAAACAGTAGTTTAGCTTCTTTGTGATTCACAGGTTGCTTTTATGAAAATGTAAGTAATGCTTTTGAGGGACAGTTTTCTGAATGGTTGCAAATTGAACCTGTGACCTCTGTGCATCATGTGACAATACCTATAAAATTTGATGCCTGTAGATGCATATGTGTATGCAAATATGCCATTCCTTTTGATCTTCTTTATAAAAGAGTCAGTGATGCTACACAGTTAGTGGAATTCCTAAATTTTAAGGCCAGAAGGTAGATTATGTGCTCTTGATATCTATGTAATACAGATCTGAGTGTAATTTCTTCATTAAGTCCTCAAAATCATCTCTTTGTCATAATCCAGTAGTTTTTAAATTTAGGTACTATGCTTGCAAGACTGTTAAACCTAGTAAAAGCTGAAGTTGCTATTATATCACAGCAGTTGCTGTTAGTATTCTTTTTCTTTGCTTTGTTTTAGAAGAGATTGCTTGAATTCTTCTCTTACTAGGTTGCCAGCAAGAAAACCAGAAGGCTGCTAGACAAAAGTAAAACTTTCCATGTGACATGTGGTGTTACAATATGCATCTTTTCAGGTGAGATCTTTTTGTGCTGAGTAGCAGCGTGATTGGGAAGCACATTGAAGCAGTACTTCGTGGTTTTTCTTCTACAGTACGTTTGGGGATAGTCTTGCTCTGTGCTTACCTGTCTTAAATTGTAAATGCTTTCTTGGATGTGTGAGGGTTTTGGTTCATTTTTGCTTTAAACACATGGCCATACATTCTAATGCTGAGCCTTTCCATAAAATTCCAATTTCTAGAAGGATAGGTATATGAGATCAGGTCAAAATATGCCATTATCCCTTTGTGCCTAAGGGATTAGGGTGAAGAAACAGGGTACTACAGGCTTAACTGCAGGGAAGGCAACAGTGGAGACAACTACCCAATTTGGTGAAGAAGAAATATTCTTGGCTGGACACTTTTGAATGTTGCCTCTCAGCTGAAGCATTGTACCATGGAAATCATTGCTACAGAGTTAAAAAAAAACCCTTAAAATACATACATCTTTCTGTCATGAATATTTATAAACTGATTTAGAAAAAGAATCCCTTAGTCCCTGATGTACCTCATGCAGGTGATGTGATTACAGCTTGGCATCTGGGTGGCCACTTCAGGGGAACATCCATATTTTGTTTACAGACCTCACCTTTACTCAGGTTTTTTTTCTTAGTCTTACATGTTGCTGCTCATCTGGTGAATGCTCTTAACTTCTCTGAGAACTACAATGAAGAATTTCTGGCCCTAAATGCAGCAAACTATCGTGGTGAGGTGAGCCAGCTGTCCTTTCATATTTCTCTTTTAAGCATATAATTTAAATATATGATTATTTTCATATTCAGTTCCATTATATGATCCATCCTATGATCTATATAGTGCTTCTGTTTCGTGCACTGAAAACTCGCATCATGTGGGTTGCTGTGGATTTTACTTCTTTCTCTGGACAAAGCATGTATTAAGCACTTTTTGTTTAATGCAGCAGGGTTCATTCCTATTTGATTATGAGATGGAGAATGCAGTCATCAAGTTCTTTCACCTTGCACCTTGTTCTCCTGCTTCTTTTCTACTTCTCTCTGTTCCTTGAGTGAGCCAGATTGAGACATTTCTACTGTATTTTTGGGAAAATACATTCCTCATTTCCACTATTTAGAATGCAGTGAGATTTGAAAAGGATTTTGCATATTTGAGCTGCAGTGAGTATATATGCTAAGAGTAGAATTAGTTGTCTACATGAACTGGGATGGAAGCTGATTTCTAGTTGCAAAATACTTGATTTGTTTACTTTCTTTGACTTTGGTGCAGATTTCTTGCAGCCATATCAGATTCCTAGTCCAGGTGCTTGCTTCTGTATTTGGCACTGGAAAGGTATTTGCAGATTTAAGAAGGAAGACCAGAGTCCAGGACTCTTTCTTCTTTGGGCTACAATCAAGTTTCCTCTTGTTTATATCCATTCTAGTCTCAAGTCTGCATTTCTTTTCTACCAGCTTCATTAGGAAATATTTTCAATGACCCTATCCCAGCTGCATCCTTTCCCAGAAAAAGAGAGCTTGACTCAACCCAGGCTCATAAGGACCAACAACCAAGGTCTTGCAATCCCAGGGTGAATGATCTAATCATGGAGCTATTCTATGGCAGACAGACATGCCAACACCAACTATTGTGCTGAGCTTCTGAGTTGAACTGCATGTCTGCTTGTGTTAGGAGTGGTCTTACAGGCTTAGCCTCATCAGGAACATTATCAGGAGCCTGCCTCGGGCAAGAACATGCCAGGGTGTGCATGGCAGCCTCTACTAAGCCGTTTTAGGAATTTCGCAACAGAAAATGGAGATTATAGCAAGTTTTTAGGAACTCTAGGATCAAACTTTCTGGATTCTAGGTACTTTAGTAGCTTTTGAACCTTTGTACTTGAATTCCACTTAAACCCATTTTTTAACTGTGGTGGGCAGTCTGGATGCTACTGTCATGTTCTCTACATGTGTATGCGCATCTGATCAGAGACAAGGACGAGGTCAGAGAGAGGATACTTCATTTTTCCTGACCTGTATGAAAACTGCTAGCCTCCCCTCACTGCATTTTACTGCAAGTTCAATAATAATAATAGTAATAATGATAATGATAATAATAATAATAGCTAACCTCCCCTCACTGCATTTTACCGCTAGTTTAATAATAATAACAATAACAGTAACAACAACAACAATAATAATAATAATAATAAAGTTTTCTCCACAATGAAGACAAAACCTCTGAAATATAGGACTCAGGGGGAGTGAGGCAGTTTCCTGTGAGGCTGACATATCCCCTCTTGCTTTCACATGTTGTGAAGGACACAGGAACATCTGTGTCCTTTGTGTTCAGTCTTGCTTCACTAGAGTCCCCTGCAAATCTCTTGGTGATGTAGCTGGCAGTAAAATGCTTGCCTCTTGTCTTACATTTAAATTCAAATTCTCTTCCTCTTCTACTTCCCTTTGTCCCCCCAAAGGGATGAGGTAATTGAGTAAAGCTTTCAAAAATAATTGTCTGTAAAATTATCTGAATCCCAGTTTTTAATAACAGATAAGAATTTTCTTCACTGGGGAAATGCAAAGGCTAAAGATTTAGTTTATGTTGAATTACAGTCAATGTAAACTACTACCAAATTCATTCCTGCATCCAGGTTTAGGAATTACTTGTGTCTTAATGTGCATGAGCTTTATGAACTACTTATTATTGCCATGTTATTCATATAGGTATAAAATCCCATATGTTGATTTTTTTTTTCTGCTTGTCTGTTTTTCAGGACCCAAGGAAACTACTTTTTGCAACTGGTAAGTCTGTTGCAAAACTGAATGAGAAAGTTTGCTGCTTCTCATTATTACTTTCCAGACAAAATTTTTGATCCTCTGTTCACGTACTGCATTTGTTGTATTTCAGCTAGCTTGATTTATTTGTGTTAATATAACCTGGGTTTGCTTATCCAATAGTCAGGAGGGAGGAGTTACATAAGCCCCATAGTAGCTTGAGCAGCATCTTCAAAGCTGTTATTGTACAGATGAGTCAGCAGATAATCATTAGTTTCAAACAGAGATTCTGCATAATATTAAAACCAAATTCCTAAATGATCCAATTTCAAGAAAAAAAAACATAACAGTAGAGCAGTCTTCTTGCTTCAGCTGTTTTATTTAAGGGTTGGTTTGGCTTCAGAGCAGTCTAAACTGTTACATGGGAATCAGACTTCAGCGCTCATAAAGAATAAAAAGACATTTTTGGTGCAGGAATTTAGAAAGGAGCAATGTTTGAGTATGGAGGGGCAGACACAAGTCTGAGCTGTTGTGCTTCACAAGCAGGTAAACGTCCTTCCTGATGCCATCACACTTCCACCCTTATTTAGATCAAACAATAAAACCCCAACTTTGTAGCTTTTAGGGCACGGTCCAAAGGAATCTGAATAGACAGCAATGGATGGGGTTCTAGATTTGTCAATCCCAACAGATGTACTAGAATTAGCAACTTGCACAACAGTGCTTTCCAAAAACCCTAAGGAAGGTTTAGATCAGTTGAGAGCAGAGGGAGTGACAAAGTGAAATAATAGAAATTGAGGTAAAAGTTAACTGCTAACTGGAAGCAGGTCAGGTAAATGGTGTAGTTAGTGAATCAGTTGTGGAGGCTTGAACGAGGGTAACTGGCAGGAGGGCGTTAAAGATGAGAGGGGGGAGAAACAAACCAAGCAACTGAGGATTATATTCAATATCGTGTATAAGGGAGAAGGACTTGGTATAAAGAAGCAGTGAGAGGCCCAATCATATTTTGTCCTGGCTTGTGGGGATACTTTGAGACCTCTCTAGCTGAGAAGTGGAACTCCTTTTACTCTCGGTCAGCCAGGAAAATAGTGCATTTTTAAAAATTTGAGCACATAGTTGCAAAAGCAGTGATTCTAAATCATCTTTAAGTTTAAAATTACTCAGATCACTCCACATCCCAACAACTAGTAATTATCACTTATTATTTGTGCTGAAGGAATACCCAGACAGGGACCAAGATTTTGCTGCTATTGGAAATGTGCAAATATGGAAAAAACTCTGGTTTCTTCCCAGGCAGTTCAGAACAGCAAACAGAAGGAATAAGGAAACAGAAGATTTATATTGTGATGGCTTTTCAGATCAGTTTAGGAAAGAGCCTCCTTGTATAAGGGTGGGAGGTAAACTGTGGGAGTAACAAGTATTCAATAACATAGTGAAGGAAAAGAGAGATTGGAACAGGGCAGAGAGGAAACACTAAAAATGCACTGATAAGGGGGGGCAAGATTGTGAGCGATTTCAGTTTGAAGGAAAGAGAATTAAAAACTCAATGTAATAGGTGACCTGTAGCTTAAGTGACAGCGTAGAAAGCTGGATTAAGTGCTGTACTGCAATTGCATTGGAAGTATTTGTGTCAGAGGGGAGATTCATTGCATGCTACACATCAAATTAGGTTAAGAAAGAAGAAATGAAGAAGGCAGCAGTGGATAGAATGTATTTTTCTTTTTATTACAACTGCTTTTAATTATAATCTTTCCATGAAGGAGTGAAATTAAGTTTTTTATGCAGTCCATGAGGAAACTTCCATTGGTTGTAGGGATGAGATTTTTCCTAAAGTTTGTAAAATTGAGGAGTGATTTGGAATGTATCAGATTTTGGGTATAAGACTTTTTAATGAGTGGATATTGAGAAGTTTATAAAAAGATAAGATTTGAGATTGTCTCTTTATTGCTAAAGAGTCTAAAATCGCAATCAATTATTAAAAAATAAGCTTGCTCTTGTCATTAGGATGTGATCCTGTAAAAGATCATGTACCATTACAGTCTGTGGTTTTGCCATTTACATCCATAAAAGCTGGTTGAGACATTTGTATTTTGACAGTAAGTCAGCATTTATTTAGATTTCTGCTTGATGATTGACCTGACTGACTTTGTTTAAACCCAAATATGTGGCTTTTAAGGTGACTAGAAATTACACATAAATACTAACATTCTTTGAGGATTAAAAGGTATTGATGTAATCTTTCACAGATTTTAGGATCCTAATTCTTAATTCATATTCTTAATTACTGGGATGGCAATTTTGAAGATAAGATGCTCAGAAAATGTGCTAACTGTTATTTTCTAATCTGTCTTTAGGTTGATGATTTACTGTACTTTATGGGCAGGATTCTGCTTTAGGATGGGGTCATAGAATATGTTGAGTTGGAAGGCACCCATCAGGATCATTGAGTCCAACTCTTGGCCCTGTGCAGGACACCTCAAGAATCACACCATGTGCCTGAGAGCTTTGTCCAACATACCATGCTGTAGAAATACTTGTTTCTCTCCTTTGGCTTAAAAGGGCTGAGGATAAACTAGTTCTGATAAGAGTCTGCATTTGAACAAATGAGTCCAATTGTTAATATTTTTAACCTTCCCTTCTCAAATACTGGCTGCAGATCACTCTCACAGACCTTGCTCCGTGGTCAACAATTTCAAGCATTATACTTTGCCATGGAGATTAATTTTGGGTTCTTCCTCATTCCAGAATGAAATGGGTTGGCAAACAATTGTAGTGACAGCTTGCATAGAAATTGATTTGCTTGAAATTCTGTCCCTGACCAGGTTGTTAATTGTCATGATCAACAGAGTTTAGGTTCTGGAATAAGAAAGAGATAAAGAAATTTGTACAGTCAGTCTTACAAATAAACAGTGTTTGTTCTTAGTTACCTACTTAGAGACAGATGTCATGAGCAAAAGATTGCAGCAGCAAAGACTAATACAAAATTATTGATGCATGGTGAAATACAAGGGAGAAGGTAGTTTTCTCTGAGAAGGTGGGAAATTACACAACAACTCTTTATTATCTAGTTTGATACATGAATTGTGCTCAAGAGATAAGTATTTGCAAGAGTTTGATTAAATCATGATTTGTATATCTAATTCCACTTCCTTAGAAAATCACAGTAGACAAGTATACCTTTTCACAGTTCAAATGTAAGTTATCTTATGTCCCTTTTAGTTCCAGGTCTGACTGGAGTCATTATGGTGTTAGTATTATTCCTAATGTGTACAGCTTCCACGTTTGCCATCAGGTAAGACATAATCTGATCATTATACTGAAAAATGCCATTTCAGTAATCATATTTTCCTACTGATTAGAGTGTTAAAAATACCAATTTTCTTGCCCTATTTTTCCCTAGCTTGCAGTAAAATTAGCACAGTGAATTTCGCATTAAAACAATTACAAAACTTGATTGAATTACCTTCTGAGAAAAATACTATTTGATGAATGTGCTCAGTTAAAAATATAGATCTTTCAAATTATCAAATAGTACTTTTTTTATTTTTTTTCTGTTTGTACAGGGAGGCAGTAAACTAAGCATATGGAAAGTTTTATCCAATGCATACATTAAGTCCACTGGAAGTAAAATAAGATTATATCCTTATCCTAATTATTTTCACCAATTAATTGTAACAACAAACTGTAAGAAAAACAGTAACAAGAAAACCCCCCTGCAATGAAACAAACTGTCACAAAATTATGCTACTTAAGTAGAATGTTGCTTTTTAAAGTTCTGCTTCTGGTTGTTAGATATATTCTCTTTAGTGTGAATTACAATTCCAAACAGCAATGCAGTGTTGGCTCAGAGCAGCTGATGGGATTTCTGAAGGTTTAGTCCTCCAGTAGGTTCACATTCTGTACCAACATTATTGAACACATATGATAGTAACTGTGAGTGACTGGTACCTTGGAGGATTTAGCACAATGCTGCAGTCTTCTTAAGGCTTGGATTCTGCAAGCGAACATATAAAAATTACCCCGTCATTTTTATAGTGGTTGAATTCAAAGACTGCTCATGTAAATGCATCATCTCACTTCAGCCAACATGGTAGGATATATTAATTATGTATCTTCAAACATTAATGGTGCTCCATTGATGTGAGTTACACGTGTGGTTTTGAACTTTGTTGAACTAATCTGTCTTTCCTGAGTGGAAATGTTATCTGGCAACATTATCCTGTGATTTGGGACATTAGTTCAGCATTTTTGTGCATTTTCAGTAGACAAGACTACTTCCAGGGTTGAGACCTCTGTGAGGCACTGCAGGCTACAGAAGTGCAAGATTAGGCTGCTGCATGAGATGTCAGGATGGCTGCACACTACATAGTCCATACAAATGGCTCTACTTGTTAAAGAAAAGCAGTTTGGGGAAGATGGAAAAATAACACAATTACTTCACTCTGCAGCAATGAGCCAGAACAAAGTCCTGTTTTCTTCAAGGCCATAATAAATTAGAAAAAAAAAAAGAGAGAACATAATGTATTAATGATTGGGAAACTTAGAAAAATATAGGTGGTTGTAAACATATTATTGGAAATAATTTTGGGGTTCATGCAACATCTTTTGAAGTTACATGCTTTTTATTTCCTTCCACAGTTACTGTAAGTGCAAATACATTCCCAGCTCTCTGCTGTCTAGCCAGAAGAATCAAAGCCCTGAAAAGATCATCTGCATTTCCAGTTACTTTAGCAATAGTTCTTATTTAGAAATGTTATCCTGGCTTCTCTCTCAGGCATAGACCTCAAGCTTGTCTTTATAGTATGTTTTCCTAAGGAAACAAGCTTCTGAGTGCATGTCATTGTCCCTGTTTAATCTCTTTCCCTGTATATTCTCATGTGCCCTATGATGGGTGAGCATACTGTATAGTCTTAGGAAAATTATTTGCAAATATTCACTGCCTCTCAGAAGCTGGGCTTTTCAAAAAGTATTTCAGAGACTATTATTCTCTTGGATTCCAGCCCTAATCTGCTCTTGCACACTGACCTGCTTAATAATTTCTTCCTTTGTATATTCCTCCTGAAATTTTTATATGGATGATTATCCCTCTATTTTCCTGCCTTTACTTGTTTAGTAAAGTGCGTGAATAAGTATTGGGATTGAATTAGCTGCTAATGTTTTAAAAGGGGAAAGTGCGTACTGATTGAAAAATTTTCTAAATTTTTGCCTTGTCACACATGAGAATTAGGCCAATATTTTTGGTTCAGTAGTTGTTTATCAGAAGGGTTATGAAGTTATCAGAAAACACAATAAATTCTGTCATAAATTTTGACAATTCTGCTAACTTTCAAATTAATGTTGTTCACGATTTGGAAGTCATGTATTTAAAAGAACATTAAAAAATAAGGTACTCAAATGCCATCTATTTTTGTAACCAAATATTCCAATCTTCAATTTAATCTTCTAAAGTAGCACATAAATCTTCCTTCTCAAAACTATCTGTAACAGGGTTAAAAATATTTTTCCAAAACTGTACTACTTACTGTGTCCCCTTAAAGCATGCCAAACTCCCCGTACGTTTCTCAGTGAGTTAACTATTGCAGGTCTTCACCTGCAAAATTCTAAAGTAGGTTAACCAAAAGTAAAACTAAATATTCAACTTACCTCAAATTTTCAGTACTTTGTAGTCCTAAGAAATGCATTAGTTCTGTGAATAATGTCTATTTTAAGCCTTAGAAGGAAAAAAATAATAAATGTTCTGAAGAACTATAAAAATATATGTGTATCAATAGGAAGATTATTGAATATGTTAGAATATTGCATATATCCATAGGATACACAGTTTAAAGATACAAGAAATATATAATTATCGTAATGTTGGAAAATATGTTTCATGGTAGGAGGTTCAAGGATTCACATCCCCTTAATTTAAGGAAGTGAAGTTCACAGGGCTTGCTTATATTTAGGGGAATTTTATACATGTGAGGAACAGTATTTTATAGTACAGTTATCTGTAGGAGTGCTGAAAGAAAAATAAAATACTTAAGTGGCTAGAAGCTGACATTTAGGTGTATTCAAGACATGCACAAGAAGTGTATGGTAACTTTAATCAGTAACAATAATTAGCTGTTGAAAGCAATACGTCAGAAGCAGTCCAGGAATTGACTTTTTGAAAAATTGGTGCATTCTGAAAAAGGTACTCAAGATGCAATAAAAATTCTTTCAGTGTGCAGCTTTTGGTATTATAGCAAAATATGAATTTAAACCAGAGCTTCAAGATCTATCGTCGTCCCTGCCCATAGCATGGGGCAAGGAACTAGGTGATCTTTAAGGTGCCTTCTAACCCAAGCCATTCTAGGATTCTATGACCTGTTTCAGGAGTGAGGGTAAATTTTGCTCTTTGTGCCTTCCAGTTGTGTTTCCACTCCCTATACCATCATTTATTTTCATCTTACTGATGTTGACTCCCATAACGTCTTAAGAGATATGATGAGTGACTACATGGAAATGCCTGCCAGGGTATGAGGAGTTAGAAATGGTTTGAGCAGCTTCAAGGAGGAAAAAGTGTTAACATAGTGCTGACTAGGGGAAGGATGTCAGGGTGGAAGGGAGGTTTCAGAGCCCCTTGCTGTTGCTAGGTACCTTACTTTGCTTCCTTTGTTCCTCCTTTGCTTCCTTCCTTGTTCCTTCACTTGCTTGGGTTTTATTTTGGTAGCCCTCAGATTATCAAAATTATTTTTTTTCTTGAAAAAGAAAACAAATAAGTCCTGTATTGACAGGCACAGATGCAATATATGTGTCAATTGTATTGAAGCAAGGGCAGTTAGCTAGTTATGTAGAAGACCATAGGAGAGGAAAAATTCTGAAAAAAAAAATAATTTAGCTGTGCCAAAGGAATAGCTTCTCAAATCATGTTCTCAGTGTTAAAGTTGTTTTTTTATTTAATAATTGGTTTGGCTTATGAATGGGAGTAGGTTTTGGTTTTGGAAGGGATTCTCCTACCATGCTGTGTAGTGTGAAAGGTGTGTTTGTGTGCTGTGAGGTAGTGTATTTTCTTAACCATTTGGTTGTTGTTGTTTGTTGGTAACTAATTTACTTGAGCAAAAATCAAACAAGCTTAACAGAAAACAGTTCTGGGTGGATATTTTCTTTGGTCTTGGTTCTTTTCATTTCGCCTAACAAATTACTAATGAAAGGAAGTGTTCTTTTCCCTTCACCTCTCCTGCTCTCACAGTGTAATGTTCTTCTTGTCCCTCCCAAGACCATCAGTCCTAGAGCCATACTGTATGTGGCTTCCTGTCCTGAAAATTCTCCTACCTGTGCTCTTGTTGCATTCTTGCTCTAGTTCCTGTTCCTCCTGTATCTCCTTACACTCTATACCCTCACAAGTTTTTTACCCTTTCCACTAGCCCTTCTGCTGCTGTCCATGCTACCTGTTTATGTGTTGTAACCTTAGTGAAACATTAGATTGTATTGGGGCAGGCAGAATGCAAGGTGATGCTCACTGTAAAGGGGTTGAGTTTTGAAACTGCAGATGGAGGAACTACTCTAGCTATGAGAGTCTCATAGATACTAACTAGGACCTATGAAAGCAGTGAAGTCTCCTAATTTCAGAAGAGTTCTTCAGCTGTCTCTGTAGTTCTACATCCGTATCTCTCTTTGTCAGCTTGTTACTTCTGTGCCAGTCACTTGTTCTTCTCAACACTTAATTGCGTGCAAGTACGGTGTGCCTGTAGGAAAACATGCTGGGCTTTGACTCTTCTACATGACTATGTAGCATATAATGATGTCCTGTGTGCACAGGTCTGTTTTTAATTTGCAGTGATTCCATCTAAGTTGAAACAGCATTGACCCGTGGTTTGTTCTTTTCAGGGTTTCAAACTATGACATCTTCTGGTATACACACAACCTTTTCTTTGTCTTCTATATGCTGCTGATGCTGCACGTTTCTGGGTAAGTAAATGGAAAACACTGTCCCTTTTCCTGAAGCACAACCAGAAAGAGAAGTTTTCTTGATTGCTCCGTTTCCTGAGCTTACTTGTGCACAGCAGGCCAACTTTGGGCCAACTTTGCTGTCCTATATGGTTTTTCAACAGATGTTTGTTTAAATAAATATCAGATTGTAGCTTGAAGTATTGTATGTGCTACAGCCAACTAGAGCAAATTTTTTCACTTTCAATATTAGTCCTTGTCCATTTTACCAGTGTCTAGTGAGAAATCAAGAGAACATAGTTTCTTTCTCTACCCCCTCCTACCTGTTTAGTGAGAGAAGAATGTGAAGTAAAGTTGCTCATCTCTTGCATTTTCCTCTCTACCTTTCATTTTGACTCCTAAGGAGAGGGAAGGAATGACTTCTCCCTAATTACCTCTTTCTCACTGGTGTGATACAACATTTGCAAGTTTTTCTTCTTGTTTTCACAAACATCAGACCAGTGTTAATGTGCTGAAAATCAGGACTGTATCAGGCACAAACAAACCCATCTCTATTGCGAGGTAAAGCAGCTTCCACAAGTTACGACATATGTCTGCATGGGTTGGGGATTGAACTAGATGACCCTTAGAGGTCCTTTCCAACCCTAACTATTCTATGATTCTATGAAAATCTGGGCCATTAATGTCCGTGATATTTCCTCTGTGGATGTAGATGCAGAGATTGGTATAAAGAGGGGAAGGTGTATTTGAATGAGGTGTATTTCTCCATGTCATCAAATATCTACTGAAACACAGAGTGCTTTACTGTGTGACACTGAGCACTGCTGCTTAAAGTAAATGTGGAAAGGCCTAGCAAGATCATGGGAGGAATATGTTGTTGAACAGAAACATGCAGCTTGAGATCTGGTGAATTGAAATAATGAGTTCAAAACAATTGAAACTCCTGGACACAATTCCTGTACTCTGTGAGGGTTTTTTTGTTTTTTTTTTTTTTTTTTTTTTTTTTTTTTGGGTTTTTTTGTGGTTTTTTTTTTTTGTTTGTGGGTTGGTTTTTTTTGTTTGTTTTTGTTTTTGTGTGTGTGTGTGTGTGTGTGTGTTTTGTTTGTTTCTGTTTGTTTGGGGGCTTTTCTGTTTCTTTTTTCTGGGGCATAGCTCTTTTCATAGCTGGGGGAAGACGGATATAATGTGTTCTCCTCATCCTGGGGCAGGATGGACTTTTTCTAAATTATTATTGACAGGTGTTTTTCTAACTTCTTTAGAACATCTGGTGACTGAGATCCTCTAATCTCCCTAGGTAATCTGTTCCAGTTATTGCCTTTGGGATATTTTTCATGTCCCATTTAATTAATCTCCTTCACTGCATTATCCTTTGCCCACTGTATTCCTAACCATGTTCCATTTACCAAGTTTGCAAACCAAGGCTGTAGTAATACACCAAACATTGAACAGACATCTTCTGGTACACAGCCTCCTTAGTACTGAATTACAGAGGCATTCAGTGCAAATCTAAAAGAGCTGAGTGTCAGTTAAAAATGGGAGGGGAATGAGTCATGGAGAGTGGGAGTCAGTTCAAGTTTAAGATGCCTAAATGTAGGTCTCCCTATGTTTTCTAAGTGTCTTTCTCCCATTATGGTTTAATGAGTTCTGATAAATACAGTCAATGAAGCCCGAAGGATACTTCAACTAACTTGCTGTTACAAAGATTCAAGTGACCTGGATTGATTTATAGGCTCTATTAGTGATAGCAGTAAGATCAAGAGAAAGTGGCCACAGGTTTTATGAGGGCTGATTTAGATTGGATATTAGGAAAACTTTCTTCACCAAGAGAAGATGCTTTAAAACAGGCTGCTCAGGGAAGTAGTGGAGTCACCTCTCCTGGAGGTATTTAAAAGACTTGTAGATGTGGTGCTTAGGGACATGGTTTAGTGGTGAACACAGCAGTGCTGGGTTAATGGTTGGACTCAATGATCTTAAAGGTCTTTTCCAACCTAAATAATTTGATCATCTCTTCTAAGAATGAAGGAAACTTAGATATCTGCACTCAAATTACTCCTGTGTGGCATGTCTTGGAGAGTTGTGAACTCATGGCCAGTTACTCTACAGAACAAGGCATCTTCTGTGGCTGAACTGTGCAGACAGTTTGAGTGAGCTTTTGCCTGTATTTCCATGATATTGCTGGATTCTTGTCTTGTTTAAACTGTTGTGGATACTTCTTGCAATATGACTTTTAAAGGTTTTAGTGGCTTAAGACTTGGTGCATATCTACAATCATTTATCTATATTTTAGGTCAGTAGTAGCAGCAACAAAAATTAGTTTATGTAAAACAGATGCTTGATGTTTCTAGTACCAGTGTAAGGAGCTATAAAACATACAAAATCTTTGGAGCCAGATTCCCAGCTGATCCAAATTTGGTGTTACTGTGGTATTACTGTGGTCTACAGAGGCTGAGAATAAGGCCTTTGTGCTCTCACTAGAGTTATTCAAAGATTTTTCTTCCAAAGGGTGAAAATTCTTATGAGTCCACCCACACACTGACCTTTAGCAGACCCCTCAAGCAACTTACCTTGAGCTAAGCAGCAGAAGATGGATGAGGAGATAGGAGCAGTGCAATTCCCTATAAAAACATTTGGAATCATTGATGTCTAGTTTATAAGCTTTAAAATCTTAAGAAATAGTGATATTTCTATTTTCCAGCTCTAGCCAGAAGTGAATTTTGTCTCTATTTTGGGCATGGAAAATTGGAGCAGAGCTTGAGAGTCTTGCAGATTCTCCATACTGTGCTGGTCAGCCTCTACCACACTTTTACATTACTTTCTCATTTTGTCTCACCCATTTTTGTTTGCTAAAGGTGTCTATCTCCTACTTCTTGACATCCATACTGAGTTTTTATATATTCGAGTGTTGTGTCTAATAAATACATGAGGATATATCTTGGATTTCTTAAGAATTGTGCAGAACTCAATCTTTCTGGGAAGTGATCTTGGGTGTGTAAGACCTGCCTTTCCTTGACAACTTCAGAAATGGGAGTAGTTGCAGCTGCTGTTAACAGACAGCTTTGTCATCACTGTTTGCCACTCAGCATGTTTGTAATAGTTTGACCAAACTAGAGATCATTGGAAGGTATTCTCATGTTTACAGCTATTCATGTGTCAAGGAAATACTCTTTTGGATGTTCTGAGAACAGAGAAGCTGTGGGAGCTGCTGACAGGCTTGCACACAAGGTTGACTGGAAAAATATTGCATGGGCTTTGACTTCCAGCTGAATCCATGAGGCACTATAATATTTATGAAGCAGGGAACTAACGTAATGCCAGTGGTATCTGCCACTTTGCAAATATGTGATGATCAGCAGTGATGCCAGATGCAAGCGATAGGCATGATCAAGCAGTAAATGCAGGCAGGTGCAAGGACACTTTCCAAATGATTCTCCCAGGGTCAGATGTGGCATTTAGAGTGAGGAGGTTTAACGTCCAAGCTGACATTGTTCACTGGACCACGTGGGAAGCTTGTTACTGACTGTCAGGATTGCATTTTTGTAGGGAAGATTGCCAGTAGCTTGTCAGAGCCCACTTAAGTTGGGAGTATTGCAGATGTCCTAGTTCTCTCTCTTCTTGTGAACTAAATTCTATTTCTACCGCTGCTGTGTGTTAAGGAGAGGAGGAGGGAGTCTATGTCCTTATGTTTGATTGTATACTTAAGATGAGCCTTCACAACATGGTCTAGTACTCAGCAGGCATGTCTCACCAGACGTTGCCTCAATATGCCTCATTTCCCACCCAGCACCATCCTATAGAGGTGTCATTCAGCCTTTCATTTGGTTAGTGGTTGGTTTTTCTTTTATTTTTTCTTTTTTTTTGTTGTTGTTGTTGGTTTTTGTTGGGTTTTTTTTGGGTTTTTTTAAATATTCCTGCTTGTGGATTTACTGTCATCAAATACAGATTCAGAGACAAGTAGTGCTTCTGAGAAATTTTACTACTACTGTTATCTTTTCTTCCCTGTTTCCAATGATTCATTCATGTGCTGAGATATCCCAGAGTGTCTCAGGTTTCCAGTTCTTTCTTCAATTTCTAGCTCTAGCTGCAAAGTTCTTACTTCATTTTACTACAAATTTAGCTTAGCTTTAAAAAAAAAAAAACAAAACCATCAAAACCACAAAACAATTTGCAAGGAAGGTTGGAAGATTCCTTGGCTATCATGCAGGACTTTCTTTTTTCCTTTTATCTGACAAGATTATATCCAAAGGAGGAAACTATAGAATTGTGTGCAAACCTGATAAACACCAAGTAGTAGGAACATTCCTGCCATTTATGATTTGGCAACTTAGGCCCCTTCTGCTACAAGACTCCCTTAAAAACAGGGCTTGGTGACTGTAGGGAGGATGAGTGAAAACAGCCTGACAGTGTGAGATTGAATTGGAAATGTGATTACTTACTTTTTTTGCAAAGTTCCCACAATGTTTTCCCTCTTTCAAGCAGCAATAAGCTTGAGGCTGTTCAGTGTGGGAGTGCCAAGCGAGCTGGAAAAGTTAAACCTTGCCTCTAGTGACAGGAGGCTCTATTGTTGCAAATCTTCAATCTCATTGAAAGTCCTGCAAACAAATGGAATAAAAATTCTAACAGAAGATGAGGCTTGTGACTACTCTCTAAAGCCCTCTCTGAATTAAGATAAGTTGTTTGTTTCTTACTTCAGTGTCTTTACTATTCTTACTTTCATGTAGGGGAGTGCTCAAGTACCAGACGAACTTAGAGGAACACCCTCCTGGTTGCTTTAATCCTAACAAAACGCTCCGACAGAATCTGACTGTGCCAAAGGCTTTTGAAGAGCTGTTTCCTGATTATGCTACTGAGCCTTTCCCAGAGGACTTCCCAGTACCAGAACCCTTTGTACAAAATCACTTTATGAGAATTTGTTCCGAGGAACCCAAGTTCCAGTCACACTTCCCAGAGGTCTGTATGATCCGACATTTCAGGTATTATAAGCCTTGCCAAGTCTTTCAGTCAGCCATAACCACTAATTATTGCTTTTCCAGACCAGATGTTTTAATAATGGAAAATATTATTAAAACCTTTAGAGGCATTCAAAGATTTGGTGTGGAAAAATCAATCTATATTAAACCCTGAGCTGCATTACAATGTGATGCATAGAATAGGGAGAGTGGAAAAATGTCAAGAGGTCAGCTGTAATATTTTTTGTACAACATAAGATGTTAAGAGATAAGACAAAAGAGAAGTATTGGTCCTGCTATAAATGTGACTTTAAATTACAGCGTAGCACTTCAGAGCAAACATTTATATAACATTTCATAAGGTCCCTTTGTAAGCACTGTGTGACAGTAGTTAGTTGAAATAATCAAGCTCCATTTGTTCTCTTTTTTTACCATGCAGATGCAAGTCCTAATACTCATTTCTGGTTTGCAGTTGGTTGTGGTTTGGCTTTTATGGCCTGTTGTTTGCAGAAAGGCTTGTTTTATGTGTAGCATGGGTAAATGAGTATGATGACAGCAGGGATAGAAAAGCCTTTTCTGTTTTCTATTTTCCTTTTGTTTCTTTATGTTTTGTGGAAGCAGCTTTTTCTTCATCCAAATTTTCTCTTTTCTTTTGAGAAAAGATGAGTTGGGCTGTATTGGTAAGTAGCCTGAGGAAGCTTGCGAATATGGAGTTCACAAGTCCAAGGCCCACCATTCAAGATGGTCCCATAACAGACCTCACAGGAGTTTCTCTTTGTTATTATCCTTGTTTTCTCTTGAACATGTATATCCCTTACGAGCTGTAGTGGGAACCCATTTTTCTATGGAGCATGAAGTCATAATAAGAAACAGTTAATTCTACATTGAATTCCTCCAACAAAGTTCTTTGGATTGGTATTTTGTTGTGGTGATACTCCTGAATTACAAGCATCAGTGTATAGCTGGCTCCATATGACCCAGAGGACAGTAAAGAGTCTTAGGGACTTAAGATGCCTGCTTTAGAGCCAATTATGGGAGAAGAGTCATGGAAAGAGATGGCCACTCAGTGTTCTCCTGGCAGCTTTGTAACACTATTTAGGGCTTTTTTGGGTTTGGAAGTATTGTGATATCAAGATTAAAAAAAAAAAAAAGGTTCTGTGAGCTACTGAAACTTTTAAGGCTTTTTTGTGGAAATTAATCAATCTCCACTAGTTGCAAGAGAGGCTGATACGTAACTTCAAAAATTGGGAAAGAAAGATGGGTGAGGATCAAGGGCACTTCAATGCCATAGCTTGAGTGACTGAGCAGATGTAGAATTAGTAGTTAAGTCTGCCATAAGCTATTGGTAATTGACTCTTAGGATGAGATTTAGCTGAGCAGCTGCAAATGTTTCCATCTGGAGTAGTCACCCAGGGCTCCCTGGGCTCCCTGAATAATCACTGCAGAGAAATGGGCATTTCCAGGACATCTTTTGTCTAGCATACATATATTCCATGAGGGCAAATGACTTGTGATTCAGAAGTGCCCATTCCTCTCTGTTATCTATGATTTTATGCTAGTTTAATATAAACATAAATTCTATGGAACAAGAATGAATCTTTCTTTGGTTTTTACTTGAACCTGAGATTATTGTAAGATAATAGTCAAGTAATATTACAAGACAAACAGTGTTTTTCCTTAAAGGTTAAACGATTATACAGTACTCTGGTCTGTTACATTTTGAAACCATGTATGTATTGTGTCTTTGGCTGCTGAAACCAGTTGCAATCTAACTACATAAAACCAAAATAACATGGTAGCAATTGAGGTCATTAACATTTTATTCTTGATTAGTTTTATGATTGAAATTCCTTGTGCTTGTGGATGATGCTGCTGGTTAGACTGATTAAGGCTTCAGAACATACTTGAATTTTTGCATGTAGAGAGATTTGAAGGCTAGATGTGAAATGAGGTCCTGCAAGTACTCATGTAGTTAAAAGTCCTTGAGGTGACCTATTTTTGTTCTCCCATAGACCTGGTTTTGGATTTCTGGACCCCTGTGCTTGTACTGTGTGGAAAGGCTGTACCGCTACATCCGCAGCAATAAACCAGTCACAATAACTTCGGTAATAAACCATCCCTCCAATGTCCTTGAAGTGAGGATGATGAAAGACGACTTTGAAGCAAGGCCTGGTCAGGTGAGTTAATGTGCCCCTAAAAAAGCACTGTTTTCCTGTAGCGTTGTCTATGGGGATGACTATTGATTTATAAACACTAGCCCATCATTGGATGTTCTGAAAGTATCTTTTCTGTTATTTTATTTCAGTATGTCATTCTACACTGTCCAAGAGTGTCTGCCCTGGAAAGCCATCCATTCACCCTTACAATGGTAAGAAATACTGTTCTTTTCTGTACTTTCCCTTTTATTTGTATTTGGTAAGCAAATGGTCTTTATTTCTTTCAAGGTGAAAATTCTCTCTAGAAGAGCTTATGTTTCATTTATGAGGGTACTAATGAATGTGAAATGGCATGATTATTATGTATGACAGTACCTGATACATATTTAATTTTCTCCACTGTTGAGAAAGTGATAATAGGAACTTTTTTTGAAGTCTTCTATAAGTGAATACCAATAATAAATAAATGAATAAAATCCATGTGATGTCGATAATTGTTTCATAAAAGAAGTTTTAGGTGTATTTGTAGACCTTAATGAAGAATGAGCACAAATTGTAATGAACTTTGTCATCTTTCCTCTTCAATGAGAAGCTCTTTCTATGACTGCCTTTTCCAAAATTAGGTAAACATCAAGTTTAAAAAAGAAGTTTCTAAAATTATTTCCTACTGTATTTTTGTATTGTGGTACACCAATAAAGTCATACAGCATTTAGATTATTACCTACTCTGCTCAGTTGGTCTAGAATGGGAACTGAGGCCTCTGGGGATAGACAGAAATAAAATTAAATTTTATATAAATGTACCTGAAGTTCTTCAAGAGTACACAGTACAGAGACCTGGGATGTGCTACTGAACTGACTGACTGTGTTGTTCAAAAGCAGAGTTTTTAGAACAGAATATTACTGACAGCCTTTTCCTTCCAAGGGGAATAAAGGCTTTCAGATTGCCTGAATTGGATGTTCTTCTTCAATAAGATCATTGAGATAAACATTCATGTTTGATTCTTTTCTTTGGACTGATAACTGATACTTTGTCCCCACTGAGTTATACCTAGTGCTGTGGAAAAACCGGGAGGTTTTACTGCTACCCAAAATTCAGAGGGCACAACCAGGTCCAGTTCTTTGGGTTTGTAGGGTGTTTTATTTTGTTTTGTTAACTTATTTATCTATATGCTGAGCCAGGAATCACAGGAGAACCCCCACAAAATTTCACCCAGGGTAAATTTTGTGCTGTAAATCTGGGAATTAATCTCACTTAAGGGAAGCTGCCTCTGTATAGCTTGGTGAATCATTAATGGCACTTGCATAGCCTGAGTTTTTCAAAGGCTTTAATGCTTATAGAATGTGTAGGCAAAAGCTTAACTCAGTTGTTTTTCTACTCCCATCTGACCTACCTGTAGTTACCAATCAAGCTGGAACACTACTGCTGCTTCTTTTGTTGGATAATGATAACCCCTGGGTAATTTTTCTACCTTGGTTTAGGAATATGGGACTTTGATCCACAGCAAGAACAGCATGAGGGGTGTGTGAGGCTTTGGGTACTGGAAGTGCAGTGCAGGAATTACTGTAGCACAGTTGGGGGAAGACTGTGGTGTTCTTCCTGGCACTGTTGTCCTGCTTAGAATCATAGAGTACTTTGGGTTGGAAAGGACCTTCAAAGGCCGTCTAGTTCAATCCCCTCTGCAATAAGCAGGGACATCTTCAACTAGATCAAGTTGCTCAGAGCCCCATCCAACTCGGCCTTTGAATGTTTCCAGGGATGGGACATCTACCACTACCACTTCTCTGGGCAACATTTCTTCCTTATCTCTGGTCTAAATCTCTTTTAGTTTAAAACCATTACCCCATGTCCTATTGCAACAGTCCATGCTAAAATGTCTGTCCCTAGGCACTATGTGATGTCCTGTTTATGCTGATGAAATATCTCACTGTGCCTGGAGCATGCTTGAAAGACAAAAAGTTCAAGCAGAAAAGACCAGTTCAGGCATATCTTTATACTTTTAAGTGAGAATGATAAGCAAAAGTAGAAATGAAGGGGTGAGTCACTGTGAAAGAGTCATGCAGATATTTTACTAGTCCCTTCCCTTTTCAAGGTTGTGTAATATTTACAATTTAGCTCAGTTTCTTACATAACACCAGGGTGGAGGAACACACAGGGAGGCTGTGTAAAGGCCCTGAACCCACTCCAGTTGCAGTCTGGCAAAGCTCCCACATGTTTCACTTTGAGCCAGAGGGAGCTCTTAATTGTGACCAAGGGCACATTAGGAGACTTTATTCTCTTTGCACCCTTCCTTCAGGTATTTATATACTTTGATAAGATCTCCTTGAGCCTTCTGTTCTCCAGTCTGAACAGTCTCAGCTCTCTAAGTCTATCCTCATAGGAGACATGTTCCAGTCCCTTCATCGTCTTCTTGATTGGATGCTATCCACTATGTTCATATCTGTTGTAGTGAGGAAACCAGCACCGGACATGGGTCTCAAAGCGTGGTTTCACCAGTGCTGACTAAAGAAGAATAACCTCCCTCAACCCTTTGGTAGTGTCCCTTGTACATTCTGAAGTTCAGACACTTGGAGATCTCAGTTTTCTCTCACGATCAGTGTGGAAGCTGGCTTTTTTTTAACTTCAGTTTTGAAGTGTGCTTCTGCTGGTCTTTACTCACTAGTGACTTTGTACTTACCAGTATGACTGCTGGTCTTTGTCACCTGTTGGAAAGCGTGAGAAAGCTAATGAAGAGATGGTCTAGCATCTGAGATTCCTGTAGGTGACCTGCTGGACAGTTCTAGGTAGTGCATAGTGGGTTACTCACTTGATAGTGTCTTCATTGCTCCACTGTCTTTGATTTCACTTTAACAAAAAGTTTTCTTTTTATCATGTTTTATGATGCTTTTTTTACCGATTTCTATGCACAGCTGTACACTGTACACAGCTGTTACTGTGCTGTGTAAGACAGTGTGAGTAACATTTACAGTCCTGTATGCCCTCATGTCCAGTTTACTTGTTTTAGATAGGACACTATTGCATCTTACAGTTGAATCTGAGCAGAACACAGGCAACTTGAAAGTGTTTTCTTCTATAGTTGAGAGAAATACTTTCTGTATATAAATAGTTGAGTGTTTGTAAATGGACAAATTATTTTTGTGTGTTTCCACTTGATGAACACTTTTGAGGAGATGTCTTTCAAAGCAACCAAAAGATATAGTCTGGAGATCAGACCATCCAAAGAAACATCAGAAATCTCTCTAGTGCTCTGTTTCCCGAGATTGACATTTCTTTACACTTTTCTGGAAGAAAATGTGGAACTCATCTGCTGTGGAACACAGTTCAGATGTAATTTTTTTAAGACAATCTTTAAAGACCTTGAAAAAGAAAACAAACATTATCAATAGTAAGAATTTCCAGTAGTTAGGATGGTCCTTCTTACCAAAACTAAGAAAAAAGTTAGTTTATTCTTCCCTTTTTTTTTTTTTTTTTCATTTTATAAAGTGTTTGACTCCATTCTGGTTGCTCTTCATTTTAACCTGTATGAACAAGAAGAGACTAAGGCTTGCAGTTTACAGTAGCATTGAGTTTTTCTCCATCTTACATTTTCCCCCGGTATTGAGTTCCCTCTCTTATTTTTTTTTTTTTTTTTGCCAATGAGTAGCTTCAGAAGTAGATTTCTATTTAGAATATATATTAGTGTCTTACAACAGGAGTCACTTTTTCTGCTGTGTTTTTGGAATTTCTTGCATTAGCATGCAGTGATTGGAAGCCTCGTGGAAATAGCCTAGTGTTTTGCAGATATTAAGTGCTTCAGAAGATGTCCTGGGTTCTCTTGTGCAGCCTCTGCTGAATCTACTACAGAGTCAATGCACAAACTCTCACAAGCTGCAGTTTAGAGTAGACTGCTGTCTACTCCCAGCAGCTCATAAAGCTTGGTGACCTTGTTATTTCAGTAGTGTTGATTTTTTTGTGGCAAAGGAAGGTAGGAAATAATTACATCACCTCATGTAGGACTTAGACTGTAACAGACGTTGAAATAAGGACAAAACTAAGAGGTGAATTCTTCTAAATTTGGAGTTGGCTAAGATCTGAGGTTTGGTGAAACTTTTGCTTTGCGCCAGCAATCTATAAATGCTGGATCAATAATCTGTTATTCCAAAGTTTTGATGGTTTTAGGTGTTGCTAGCTGCTGTCATGCCCTTGTTTCCCCTTGGACCTGAAATCTGAATATTCTGAAGTTTCCTTTAAAGACTTTTTTTTTTAATTGACACATATCTCAAGTTACTCCTATTGATACTTAGACACAGGTAACTTGCATAAACACTTAGACACTTGAGCTTTGTGTCTGTATAAGACATACTCTGCATGCCAGCTGATTAGTAGCTTCATGAGATAGAGTTATAACAGGCAGATGACTTGGAAGTTGCACATATAAAGCAAAAAATCAAAATAAAGAAGCCACAGCAAAGATCTCAGTCTTGAGACTCCAGTGACTGTGTCTTCGGATCCTCCAAAGAGTGTTGGATCTTCATTCAGTGTCTAGATCCCAGTTCTGGCAACAGGTAAGCAATGATCAACCTGCAACAAGAGGTTTGAAATATTTTTTGAAAGTAGAAATTTTATCCTGTGTTACAATGTACTCCGACCTCCCCTGCTTCAGTACTGCATAACAAATCTGCTTTTAAATCCCACTGAAGTAGAACCTGGAAGAGTCTGGTAAAAAAAAAAAATCCAAGAAGTTATGTCATTTTTCTGGTTCTCCATCTTTTTGTGCAGATGGTTAATTTGAAGCAGATCACATCAGGAGGATTTGTAGTACCACATCTTTCTTCCTTTCCTTCCACATACAGTTCTGTATGAGGAAGAGAAGAAAAACTCCAGAGGATCTTGAATTCTATTGTCATAGAAATGTATGATAAAATCCTTGCTATGTCACTTATGGCATGTACCAAGTTAGGGGGATGGTATATGTGCATTTTTTAACATGTCAAAGCTGAGTTTTTAGGAGAGGATAAGTTTGCATATGCAGATATTCAGATCCACTCAAATCCAGGTATATATTATTGAGGAAGAATACTTTGCCTGATTAGTATCCAAGTTAAAATTTCATAAAATAATTATTACTGAATCTCGGGCAGAAAAACTCTTAAATCCATTAATCATCTCAGAATAAGTAGAAGAATTACCTGGAAGAGATTTCTGAATGTACATTACAAGTTATATACTGTA